ATCTACGCCCCGGGGTCAATGGGGGGATGACGGTTATAATGCTTATGGAGCTGGTCAGCACCGGGGTTCTTCGTCCACGGGTGGAGGTCGTGGATATGCTTGGCAGAGCGACAGTTCGGCAGGGAGGCCATTTTTTGGTCCTATCGGTGGTTTTGTCGAGGGGCATCTGGCCCGGGATATCGGCAGCGGGGTGGTTTCCGCGGTAATTGTGGTGGTCCTGGCGGTCGAGGGGGCCGGTACCGCCCACGACAACCTCCTCCGACCGTGGTTGTCGAGCAGACGACCGCTGGCGGGACTACCGAGGAGCCAGGGTTGACTGGTTAGGCTATGGAGGTTGTGACGGCTCTCGCTAATGTTCAGGTTCCTGAGAATGAGACTATGGGTGATGTGTCCATGGAAGTGCCGGACATGGCTGATTCAGAGAGGGCGTCCAAGTGGGCAAGCAAGAAGGAGAAAATGCTATGCTATCGTTGTGGCGACAAGGGTCATTTTATTGCTGAGTGTGTGGCTGTGTTATGTGATACTTGTGGTAAGACGGCACATGATTGGGGGAATGCCCGCTTCTGCGAGATCAGGCACCGTCTCTTATGATGTATGGAGTGTTGTGTGCTGAACTCACGTTTTCTGAGTCTCCTAATGAGAGGGAGGTTCCTGATGAGGCCCAGAGCATGACTACTGGGATCGTCAAGGTGACCAGAGGAGAGGTCTCCGAGACCCAGATTGTGCCTGATATCTTGCCATGCATGAACAACATAAGTGCATTGAGGAGGTACCAGATTGCAAAACTATACAGGAGGGATAACACTTCAAAGGGAAGGTACCGAGAGTTCTACCAGTGTGACTTTAACATTGCTGGAGCATACTGAGGTCATCAAATTTTTGACCGAGTTACTGGATAAGCTAGCTATTGGCATATATGAGATAAAACTAAACCACAGGAAGTTGCTTGATGCTAGAGAGCAGTATTTGTCTCCTGAGCAGTAAGTATGCAGTCGCTCGATGAAGATCTGACCGCAGGAGCGAAGCCTTTTTCTTCAGAAACGAACAGTAAAACTGTCAATATCTTGAGGTTCCGTCCCTGAGCTATAAGTGTGTGGAGAGACTCTCGCAGCTTGATCTAAACAAAAGCAGCAGCAATGACAGCCATCAAATTTCCAACCTCTCTGGTAAATTTTAGAAACCAACTACACAGATCGTTCCCTTAAAAGATTGATCGGATTGAATTGGTGTGTGATTGTCAACCAATTAGCACAGAAAGAGAGGGTAGATTGTCTGTCATTAGCGTGAGGGGCAGGCAGCATCTCCGTCCACCATTAATGGTCTGAAGGAGAAAGATTGTCTATCAGGCCTCAAACCTCAAGCTAACTACAGCCAAATGTTGAGAGTCCTGAAAACAGAGGAGAAGGAGAGGAAGCTAACTACACGCAAATGTTCAGACTTCAGAATTATCGGCATAATCGTCAAGGGGTCTCCTCTTCTAGGTAAGCTAACTACAGCTCAGCTACATATCAGCGTGCAGAACTTAACCTCGCTTAAGAAAACAGAGAACAGGAAGCACTGCACATCAAGTAAATTAAGATTCCAGAATTTATCCCAAACAAGTACTAGAATATCTATTGTAGTGCTAAATTTGTGAGAAATAATACTCCGAAGAAGCCAATTAAGTTGACTAGGACCGAAATAACCAAATACATGTCCAGCAACAAACAGAGTAAACTTATTTATTACAGCAGCAAGTCACCATATTTCTTGGAAAGAAAATCGTCCACCATATTGCAGCAGGTCATTAACTTCGATCTGTTACAAACAAGATAAATAAATCCTAGTGGTGACACAACATAAAAGTACCAATGGCGGGGAAGCCACCAAATCGACATGAGAGCAAAGAGACTAAATTATTCGACGCACTTGATCATCTTGATGAATGGCCATCAACCAATAAGCAGCATGTGAGATGGCTTTGCCATTAGCAAGTCGCGGCCTGTACTGCCTGCACAATAGAAGAAGTGGCATTACCAGGATGTGAACTGTGGAGAGGTGAGGAGGAAGCTCAATGCAAGGCAAGTATAGCACAATTCATTACCTGGATGTGTTGATGGTGTCTAGAGAAACAAGATCTTGGGACGTGGACTTGGGAGGTTCTTTGCTGCTTCTTCCCACTCATTTTTTGTTTCATCTCCCACTTCACGATGGAGAACAATCTCCTTAAGATGTCCAAGGGACTGGACCGCTGACGTGCCGGAAATAGAGCCAGACAGATCTTTGCATAGCAGCTGCAGTGACTTGAGGCATGGTAGAGCTCCCTCTTTGATTTCCAGCTGATCCATGGTGGAGTCGACCAGAATGGATAGGCGTCCCAGGGTCTTCAGCATACCTTTTATGATGACAAGCTTGTCCAGTCTAGTTGCAACCAGCTTCAGGTACGCCAGGCTGGGCACTTTGCTCAGGGCAGCAAGGAAGTCTTGGCTCAGGCTCAGCTGAGGGGATGAAAGACCTAGCTTAGTGAGACGACCCAGCAAGGCAACAAAGGGGGGCAGGCTGCATATCTTGCTTCCTTCCAGCTTGAGGGAGCATGAATGCTTTCCTTTCTCCAGAGAGAAATTCAGCATGTCTTGGGTCAACTCACCTTCAAAATTGAGTGATAGTGAAGGGGTCCCTATGAACAGGGTGCTTCTCTCAATGATCCCCTTGATGGCCTTTGAGAGATGACTTGAGATGCTGGTGTCGGCGGTAGCCTCGCACCATATTTTCACCTTTGTCAAAGCCTTCATATTATCCATGAGCTGTGCAAAATCTTGGCTCTTGCTGTTGTCCACAACAAATCCTGCCAGTGTTTCCAATTTGCTATTCTCTAACAACCAACTCTGTAGCTTACTCATTCTCCAGTCTCCTAGATCTTTCTTGAGCTTGAACTTCCCAAAGAGATGAACAAGACGTGGCAGCTCCATGACTTGCGTTGGCAGAATCTCTATCTTTGTTTTACTTACATCCAGTGTATCCAATAATTGAAGCTTCCTGATCTCCTTGGGAAGCACCGTGGCAATAACTGCAGCCCCGAGGCATAGGTACCTCAGCAGCAACAGTTTTCTGCATATCAACTTGAGATGGCCATCCTCCAAGGGTACAACGCACTTTTCCAGATCCAAAACTCGCAGCAGTTCATACTTGGAGAAGTCCAGGACAGATGGGTGCGCCTCTCCCAAGATTGTCAGTGACCGAACAAGAGTTAAACCTGGCACTTCTCTTGGCCTTGCATGATGCAGAGCAAGCCGGCGGATATTATTGGGTAGGCGAGAGGTAGACTGCCCATCATACAACACGGTAACGAAGTTGTCGGACATGGACTTGCGCAGGACGAACTCCAGCATCATGCCATGGGTATGACATGTCTTCACCTCTGTGTTGTTACCGCTGGCTTCCATTGGCTGGATGATGCTCCAATCAACAAGCTTATTGAAATTGCTAATGGCGGCATCAACATCACTATATGTATTGTCTCCTGGGGACAAGCCTTCTGCTAACCATCTCCTTAACAAGCTCGATTTCTTGATAGGACGACCACTTGGGTAGGTACTCAAATAGAGCAAGAATGTCCTGGCGACCTGGCTATCAAGGCTGGTGTAGCTCTGGACAAGCACACGCCTCATTCTTGCAAATAGATCATCACTCTCCATATGTGTACCCAGGTTGGCGCATAGTTTTGCCCATAACATGGGTGTTGGATTACCTGCGCTTTTCAAGAACCTGGCGGTGGTAACAAGAGCAAGGGGAAGACCATCACATTTCTTGAGCGCTGCATAGCCGAGGTCATCCACATGCTGCGGCTGTTCATCGTCTTGGAAAGCTTCATTGAAGAACAATATTCTTGAGTCTTGGTCGGTAAGAGTTGCCATTGTGTATACATGATAATTAACAGATGAGCTGCGACAGATATTTGCTACGGGCTGAATGACCGTCGTCACCAGAAATCTGCCATTTAAACCGACAAAGGCTGCTTTCATGTTGTGCCAATATGCTGTTGTCCGCAGGTCATCAATTACAATAAAGAACCTAGGTACCAAAATAAACATTACAAACTAATCAGGCAAGGATTACATCGATAGAGAAAGCTAGCAGATCGAGAAAAAGAGATGGGAAACTGAATGAATGAGTTACCTCTTGTTGCCAATGCACTCTCTGATGCTCGCGTGAAGCAAGGTGAGAGTGAGACTGCCATTGGTTGGCAGGGGAAGGTGGCCAAGCTGCTTGAGTATCTCCTTGAGAACATCCGCTGCTGTCCTCCTCCCCCCTTGGACCCAAGCCCGTACTTCATATTGGCTCTCAATTGCCTTGGAGTTGTACAGATGATTGGCAAGGAGAGTCTTGCCCATGCCATGGAAACCCACAATGGTAATCACCTTAAGCTGTTGCTCCTGCTGGATCAGATCCATAAGCTCGCCACGGGGACCGTCGATACCCACAGGAACGGCGATGGAAGCTGATGAATGGGTGTCATCGTCATCATCCTGAACCGCTGTCGGCGCGTCTGTCTGCTCAGACGACAACGACCACCTTGGTGAGGAACTGCTGCTGCTGTTGTTGCAGTATTTTTCTCTCAGCTTGGAAGCATCTTCTGATCTATTCTTCAGCGTCCGGATCTCCGCAGCAAACTTGCCGCGGGTCTTCGCCGTCTTCACCCGGTGGAGAGCCCGGCTGAGCCTCCCTTTTTCCGAGTCAGCCATGGTCACACTGTGCATGAAGCGGTCGATGCAGTCTTCTATGGCGTGCGCCAATTCACGCACAATATTGATCCACTCCGTGTGCACTTGTTCACTGCTGCTGCGGCAGCCACCACGGCTATCATCATCCTTGATGACAGCAGAAATCATAGCAAACTCATGCTTGATGTAGATGATGTCATTCTTTAGGTTCTTCCGAAGCTCATGATTTGCATGTAAGAAATCAAAGAGCTTCGGCACCATCCACTCCACAAATGAGGTGGCCGCGGCCGCGGCCACAGCCTCCATCTCTCTCTCTCTCTCTCTCTCTCTCTC